TTCTCACATGAGTTTTTTGAACATATCCTGAAATTGGATGAATAGAACCAGGACAAATTTCTGATACCAATGCAATTTAACTTTGTACCTTTTTTTAACAAGTTGATTGCCAAACTGAAACTGTTGAAAATTTCGTTAGGAAATAGTTTTATTTTGAACAAATTTTATTTATTCTAGTGTTCTAGTAAACTAATTTTTCATGCTTCACAAACAATCTGGAACAGTTTGATCCAATTTTAAGAAAGTTATTTTGTTTTAATGGTGTGCAAATACTTTATGGACTCGCTGTATGTCGTTTAAATGAAATACGTTTAACGTATGCATTATGCAAAATGTGCAAAATAAAAAATGCATCATCAGTGTACATGAATGATGTAATAAACTTCTATTCAACTCAAATATCTCTATATTTTTTCTATAAAAATGTGCACTTGCCTAAACGTCCTTAAATAATAAACTGTCTTACTTCATTGGAAATAATGTTATTTCTATTTTAATACACATAGAAATTGTTTGCTCTTTAACTTAATTGAAAGCATCATTATTAATTACGGAGATTATCAAACCTTCCGATGCATAGGTGTTTAGTTTGCACTTGAAAGCTTCGTGATATACTTATTAGTTACAGTTAATTAATTATAATCAAGTGATATCAAATTTAATTATCAAACCAGTATTAATATTAATAATGATACAGCTATTATTTGCACTACTTTGTGCGATTTTAATCCATCTTTCATACGAACAAATATAATAATATGATGTACTATAATATGACGACACATAGCATCATATGAAACTTGAACCAACATATTTTGAAACCAATCTTTCAATCTCTTATACCCGAAATAGCAGTGGAAATACCGTATGCTACGGATGAAGCAACGTTTTAACAGAATTGAAATTCGAAGCACACGGCGAAATCAGTTCAGAAGTGGTTGCGTTTACAACCGTTTAAGATGTTAGATTGGCCTGCAGAGAATCCGGATCTAAATTGAATAGAGCATTTGCGGGTCCACTTGAACAAAACGCTTGCATTATCATGCCACCAACATTCATCGACGATTTGTGAAGCAGAATACAAGGAGAATGAGAAAAAGATTAATCCTGGCTATTATCAAAGTTTAGTAGAAGGAATAATGCCTATGAACAAATCAAAAGCTTCTAACTGAAAGCTCTAATAATTTTATGAAATTTGATAAATTTGAAAGACAAATTTTAATTTTGGAAAATATCTTTCACAAGGTACAAATGTTACTTTCTTAACACCCCGTATAAGTGTGAGAGCATCGAAGACTGACCGGGTGGCTTTGACCCGCCAATTCAGCATCACCCATACGGCCACTCAACCGCAAATCGAGTTCCGGCCATAGGGCGGAATAAAATCGACCCCAGACCCCTGATGTAACCCTTCTCCAACTTCTCTCTGGCTGTACTACTGGTAACCGCGCTACCTTCGGGCCGATTCGCATGTAGGCGAATCCAGTAAGACATTACTCGCGAGGGACACGTTTATTCGACGCTCGGGGAGCGAAAGGAAAGTAGGGAGGTGAACAGGGGAGAAAGTCAGGTTGGCTTTAATGGACATGGTCGAATGGAAAGGTCTGATCCGTGGAATATATCCAGTTGCCAGATTATATACCTGTGGTTTCACTTCGACCGGATTCAACGCGAAAGAATATTTCTCTGACATGATTCAGTGGCCTACATAACGCTACATTTGTTACGTTCATATAATATCAGGCTAACTGTGCAGTTCAATGGATTTATTGAGATTCATTTAAAGATTTCTGCAAGTCGAGAATATTTATGAATAACGAGTAATAAATACACTAAGTAAACTGCTTATAGACACATTTAATACATTTTCCAAAAAAGTATTTCAAAAAATATTCATATTTCAAACAAATTTTTATATATTTTCTATATTTAGTTTAATAGCAATATAAATGGATCTATGATACCACTTCTTAACTTCAAACCTCAATATCTCAAAATGATGTTTTCACACATTCGTGACTTTTGTATTGAACCGATTGAACTAGACTGTAGCGTTTGAAGTATTCCCATTATTTCGTTCAACCCTTATATGTTTACATATACGTGAAATAGAGTCTGTAAAAATATGCTGTGTCGGAATTTTTGAGAGAAATTTTTAGATATGACTAATTTCTAACATTCTCTTTATCGCGATGTAGATTTCTTTGTACAAACTATCTGTATATCATAGATTTCGCTTTTGCTATTACCTGTACAACAAGAGTAAGCGTGTATAGCGTTGTGTACGATATAGGACAATTTATGGGTGAACAGATACATTTACACATCCTCGACGGTGTTGAGTGTAACTTGGGGACGTTATTGTTGCGTTAAGTGTTACGACAACCGGCGAAACTTGCTTAGTAAACGGAACGCGAATGAGAGCGAGATGGATTTATTGCTTAGAAATGCGGGAACGCGCTCGTATATACACGTGAACACGAATTTCCGACTAGAGAATGATGGAGATTGATTGTCTCGTTTATCATTAGTTTCATTTAGGCTTCGGTAAAAAAGATCTTCAACGCAGAATAACACAGTCAAATAATTAATCTCTTTTTATAACTTATTTTAATTATTTTAATCCTTATTCGGATAGATGGTTTTCTCAGATTATTTTTTCTTTTTTTATTGAATTTGCTTCGTCAGTCACTCAAAGTGTTTTAAATAAATTTCTCAATACATCATTCTGGAATTCGACATGTATCAAGTCTTATATGGAGATTAATAATTACCTAGGAGTTCTGAAAATAATCTGTGATGTTTAATGATAATAAAATTGACTGACTTGTCCTATAAATTATACTTTACATTGTAATCAAACTTTCATAATGGACTAAAATATCTAGAAGTTTTAGTTTTTAATAAACCATTTAATTGATAAAAAGTGCCATTTATTTTGGTTTATTTCCTTCTCAACTTTCAAATACAACATGATGGTTTTATTTAGTTAAAACAAAGTAAAACTTTTTTTTAAATCATTTTTTCGTTCGTTAATTTTCTTGTTTCCCTATTTTTATTGAAATAATGGTAAAATTCTATACGTAAGAAACGAAGTGTGGAAATACGGATCTCGCGATCCGGCACACATGACCTAAAGTGACGTTGAACGGTACGAGGTCAACGTGATGTTGACTCGAAGAAATAAATACGAAAGAGAAACCCATTTCTCTTGTACCCATGTGACGTCTACTCTTCTGAATTCCGCCATATTGCCATATCAATTTTTAATGGAATAAATATAAATGTTCACTGCTATACTGAATTCACTAAAAATATTAACGCATAGTTATTTTATCGTTAACTGGATGCAACAAAACTTGTAATACAATTAAGGAAACAATAATACTTTGCTTAAATTTAAATAAAAATTACATAAATCATTATTTTTTTATTCTATCTATAGTAACGAATTTAGTCCAAAATTTCAGTAACAATAATTATCAATAGTTAATGCCAATAGAACGAGATATACTAATTAAAGCTGTCCTTATTCAATGAAACAAAATGACAAGCTAAATGATGTAATTAATACAAGTACTTTAATGATGCTGGCATTAAATATGGTGTAGAATATCATTACAGAGTATCAGGTAACAAATTATCCAGGCACAGATGTTTCAATTTATTGGATAACCATAGGTAAATCAGAATTTGCGTTCATATTTCATAAATTGAATTTTTGTTAATTTTATTGTCAAATAAAAATTTATAGCAACAATAAATTGCGCAATTGAAAACATCAAACACTTTTAGTACAAATGTAACAGCCATTTTAACAGATTTCAATACGATAATTTTATTCAGTATGAGTTTGTTCACAATTTTTGAAAATTAATATTTTAAAATAACGCAGGAAAATTCTCCATAGATAAAATTTTAATCAAGAACAGAATAACAGAATTTATTTGTTCAAACGACAAGCTTGGAGTTGTTTTAAAATTTCACCGGAACTTGTATAAACATGTATCAACTCAATGAAATTCGTTATGATGTTTGGTGTACTTCATTTTATGAAAGCTGAAAGAAAGAATACAATCGAAAGCTCTCTTCCCTGTTTCATATTCAGTTTTAAAAACGCATATTAGTTCAAACAACAGAAGGATTCAAAAAAACCTTTGTGTCAGTCAGATCGTATCACAGGTAAAGCAAGTACTCTTCCCTTTCTGGACAAGTTAAAGCAAAATGGTTAATTTGCAGCTGTTAATTCCTTATACAGTCTCCTATCATTTCTGTGATATTTTTCTACTTGTTCATCAGTTTCTCAAATCCCGTTTTAAGAATCGCAGATTAGGGAGGTTTATTTTAAAGAAGTTGGTCAGCATTCTTTTGGTTTTCTTAAAATTTCCTGACTTGAATTTAGAAAATTTCTTCGTAAACTTTAATGGTTTATAGTTCTCAATTTATATAGAATCGGATAAACTAGGCTTCCCTAAGGAAAATGGTGATGTCCCACCCCCTGGAGGCTTCCCCAGATTTCCGGTTTCCCGTTCTCCATAGGCTACCATGGATTTCTGGGTTCCCGATATTCCTCCGTCGAATACCGCGAGTTTCCGGGTTTTGGGGTTTCGGGATAGCTGACCCTCGCTGTGGGCCTCCCCTTCCTCGGACACCAGCTTTTTCCCTTAAGCATTACCAAGGAGGATGATAATGCAGCCAAAAGGACCTCATACATGTATTATATAGGCCTATAGCTGCTTATCACTTGCGTATAAACATTTACGTGGGAGAATTTAAATTAATATTTATTTTTCTTTTCGTACTTTTCAATTATATACTAAATTTAAAAATACTTAATAATCAAAAATTATATTCATTTCGTTTCTATGTCACTTTTAATATTAATATCGTTAAAATTAGGAGTTTGAGAACTGCTACTTTACTTGTTGCCATTTTTTCTAGAGAAGCTTATTTTGCTCGGCACTGTATATATATTTTTTTTCTCTCTCTGTTTTCAACAGTTCCGCCAGACATTTTGGATTACCAGACAAGCACAGACATGGTGGTGCGAGAGGGTAGCAACGTGACCTTACGTTGCACTGCAACAGGATCACCGGAACCTAACATCGTCTGGAAACGCGAGGATGGTCAAAAAATAATTCTGGAGAACGGAACGAAAGGTCAGTGCTATTTATCAAATTTTACATACAGTTTATTCTAATAATTTATAACTAAAAACTTTGCAGACATCCCATTATTTTCCTTTGCTAAAATTTATAATCTGTTTATTCAGGCTGTGTTTATTTAGTGATGTCGTTATAGATAAGCAGTGTAGTATGTATTAATAGTAATAAGTTAGCGTTGGGCGTCAGGGTAGTCTTTCAGAGTAGTGTGATGTATTATAATCCAAACAAACCAGAAAGACGCAATATTGCGACATGCTGTTTTAAACAATCACCATACCGTCGCATCACTTTTATTTAGAATAACCTGAAACAGCCTATATAGCAATAATTTATTGATGATTCAAAATCCAATTCGAGATTAATGCTATCTGTTCTGGTTCTATTCACGACTTGATTGATTCTATCGTAAGGGAAACTATGTAGATTCGGTATAGATCCGAATAATGAAATTTTCTTAACGTATCCCGTCGCCTCCCAATCTGTAAGATTTATAAACTTAAATCCAGGGCTTTCAAATATCCACGTTAAACTGCGAAAATATATTCGCCAGATTCGTGGTGCACTAACCGAGTCTTGTACTCTCTGGGGAGGGCAAACGCACCGCGTTCGAGCAAGGCCAATAGGTTAGAGGGTGGTGATACGTTTGCATAGGTGGAGAAGATCTCCTATATTTGCATTGAAATTGGCAAACACCGAGAGGGTGCTATGCGTACCCAGATTCGCGTGGCTGCCTTTTGCGTACGGCTACAATGAAACATCTGATGTGTTATGAATTTTCTGCATCAAACGAACGCGACTGATCCGTGAGAAAAATGAATTTACATTTCTAACGCTTAATAGACTTTTCAGTGCTGGCAATTATTGACTGAAAATCAATTAATCGGAATAATGAAATTTAGGCATGGTAGTAGATTTAGTAGATAGTAGGTATATCCTAGAATTTTAAATATTGTATTAAATTATGCAAACGTTAATTTTGTAATAAATTCTTTTTGTTGCTTTATAAACAATTTTTGGAATAGGAATGATCGTGCTGTAAAATCAGTACCTTTAAAGGAGTATGTACAGAATGTCTAAAAAATCATGTACAACATGGAAAGTGCAATTTTTCTCGAAAATTTGTTTACAATTTTGGAATCTTTTTATTATTTATTTGTTCACTGATATCATTACACAACGTCTACGATTTAATGTTTCTTTATTTGCAAACTCAGTGTATATTAATTTAAAGTGATAACTGGTGTGTTAAGCAACCACTTTAATTAAGTGGCCAGTGCTTTGCAAGGAAAGTAACGCGTTCATTTCTTACAGCTTCCTTCCGCATTCGGGTTCATTCAGTTTGTTAGCCGGACGCAAATATTCCAGCAGATTTAATTGTGGTAAATGGACGGACGTCGACTGCCCCGACTTCCGGATAAGCAAACTAAATTTGCGTCCGTGCACAGAAGACAACACCGAAACTTCGTTATTCTAGCTGTCTGTTTCTGTAAATTTCTGTTTTCAGACATTAATCTCGGAAAGAAAAAATGTTTTCAAGTATAGAAATATTAACACGTCAAGTTGATGATCGGCATCGCAGAATTATTTAATAGAAAGTAATAGGAAAATATTATTTCAAATTACATGTATTAAAAATTTGAAATTAAAATTTATTCCTCTTTCTCTATAAATCAATTTTTCATTTTTTTAACAGAAAATACAAACTCGTTAAATGCATCTAAATATTTAAAATGCAGTTTTAATTCAAAGTGTCAATCAGTGTATAATTTACCTTATATCTTACTGTTCCACTGAAAAATTGAAGTTAGTATTCTGAAATTGCATTATGACAAATGTACCATTAAAATTTAACCAATTTATGCTATTATGAATGGCCAAGAGGATAACGAACACAGATACACTTTATATTATCGTTGAATAAACTAACGGGTTCATATTTTTTATATTTTGTAAAATAAATAGCAACGTATCTTGTATTTCATGAGAAATGTTTTTACATACAGGCTGTAATTCTGGTAAGCTACATTCGGTCAAACGTTTGATGCTCTTTTACATTTCCTCTCAAATGTTAATTTTCGTCATAAATTAAAAATCATAGACTAAAGCATACACTTTGATAATCGTAGTTAAAATAAGGTTGGAAAGTCAAGAATTCAGCTACGCGTTTGATTATTTTACTAAACAAATTAAAGGAGGGAATTTCGATACAGTTTTCATAGCGTTCCGGGTAACAGCGTCCGGAAATATACCAACGCGGAAAAAGTTGCTTGAGCCCATTTCAAAAATTTCACGCTCGTACACCAAACTATCTGAAACTATAACTACTGAATTTTTCCGGGAAAAAAAGGTATTTGGGATGCTTCAGCGCGCAGCATCGTTCTACAGGTGAATCCGTTTATGTATAGAAATTCTTCAGTTGAAACATGCTTTCTCTGCATTAATAATAGCATCAATTATTCCAGCAATTCTGTTTATGGTACAATATTTATAATTATTTTAGATGTGAATAAAAAAACTTATTTTGATGTTATATGCAGGCATCGTAGAATGGTATGAATAAAAATAAGATTTTGGGTAAAAATAAATAGTTCATTAGAAATTGTTATTGTATTAATAAATGTAACTCATGTGAGATATTTTAGGGCTCTTTCAAAAGCTACTAAAAGTTTAATATCAACATTTATGTTACAGTGTCGAGCGTCGGAGGAACAAACTTTAACATTAGCAAAGTAACTCGATTACACATGGGATCGTATCTTTGTATCGCGTCCAATGGAGTGCCACCCACGGTTAGCAAAAGGATTATGCTTATCGTTCATTGTGAGTATTTCAATTCTATTCTAAAATAACAATATAAAATTTAATAGTAAGTAAATATTTATATTAGATACTGTACTTATTAATGAAATAAAAATGATTAAGACTTTAGAAATCATCGAAAAAGATTAAAAGATGCTTAATTAATGTAGGTCGAAAATAACTGCTTTCAGTCTAAAATGTAGTAATTTTAATTTGAGTCAAGTATTATAATTTTTTGCAATATAATTTAACAAGTTTTTAAGAAAAATATTCAACAATGGTGAATTTTAGTTATCTAAGTATTTAATATGATTATCGTATTACTATCAATGCCAGTATGTTTTTTCGCATGAAAATAGGTACTTGAATAGTTTCGTGTATCGTATAATAAATTTAGTGGATTCACAGCAACAAGTAGAAAATTGCATAATTTAAGACAGTACTCATGTTAATAGCTTATTCGTTGAATAATCCTTTCACATTATACAGAATAATTTTATAATGATTTCGAAATACAATAGAGATTTAAGTTCATATTCATTTTGGTGTTGGCACAAGTCATTAGTGGTAATATATTTTGAAACCGTAATTTAGTAACATACTGCATAATTTCTCGTAAATATACCAGGATGAATGTTGCTAAAATAAACTCATTGAATTTCATAAACTTCCATAAATTTTCTTGCGTTTCGTAACGCGCTTACACTAAAGTTGTTAGTATCTCGAGTTATCCAAAATTGTATGTAATAATTTAGAAAGAAAGATTTTTGAACATTTTATTTGTAAGGCAGGATTTGTATCCTGAATCTTCCATTAATGAATTAATTTTACAAGTGAAATTTTTTATTTTCTAAATTGGAAGGAAGTAAATCTTTACAGGAAAATTTATCTTTTCTCTTCTAGTTCCTCCAATGATTTGGGTGCAAAATCAATTGGTTGGTGCCAGGGAGGGAGAGCAATTGACTTTGGAGTGCGACTCGGAAGCTTATCCCAAATCCATCAATTATTGGACAAGGGATAAGGACGAAATAGTTCCACAAGGTAAGTTCGAACAACATTTCACTGTTTTTTCTAACTCCGTGTGTTGATTACGCATGCAAAGCCTTGGTCGTTGATAGTTCACATTTACATTTACCACAGATTTGTATAATACAAATGGTAATGGTACTTTCTTGCAAATTTTTTAATGAATCATCGTAGAATTTCTAAACTAAAACCTTTAAAAAGTTCAACTAGCTTAATAATTTGATGTCGTGAAAAAAAATATTTTTTTCAAGCCATTTCAAAATACAACAAAAAAATTGAATATATTTTTGGAATTCTAACATATTTTCTTCGGTTGCCCTAAAGTTTCAATACATCCGATATATAAAATATATTCAGAAATGTACCACTTTAAATACAAAAAAACAGTAAAAGAAAAATATTTTTTTCTATTTTATGAAAATCACATAAAGGTCACTACATTTTAAATAATGTAAAATACAAAAAAAAAAAACAATTTTACCAAATCATCAGCAATTTTGAAATACTCATCATAGACAATATTTCCAAAAATATACTCAAAGTATTTTTGTAAAAACGAAAGTTACTTTATGCTTTATGAATGAAGTGTCGCGTTATTCTAAAGGAAGACAAATTTCCGTGCTGTTTGGAAATAATTTCCCAAGTAATTACTAGCCCATTGCCAATCGCAAGCTATAATCATGCAACTATTGTACTTATACTCCTTGTATATTCACGGTGAAGAAAAGTAACCAGGTGTAACGAGTCGTTTGAATAATGAAAGCTCCATGGTGAACGCATAAACACACGTACCTGCGAAGCGCGAGTATAAACGTTCCGTTCTGCTTTATGCTCCGTCTATAAAAGGCAGCTTTAGTACTTTCCATCGATCCACCGTTCCTTTCAGATCTTTGTATTTTCCAGGTATCATGATGTGTTTGCTCGTGGTTCCCGTTACATGCACACATGTATACACATTGGTTGCAACATTGCCAGATAATGTTCTTTTCCGTCCATGTAAGATTATGACTCGTCACCCCTTTTATATTAGCCGAATTTTGTTTCCCACTTGTTATTTCTATATTACTCTCCTGTTCCTTGATTTAATTCTTCTTCGGTTTATTAATTATTTGGGTTCTTACAATTCTCAATAAAAATTTAACGTATATTTTTTTTTATTGGAGTTAATCATTAATGTATACAGATGATATAAGTGAAATTCTGACATAAAACCGAGGAAAAAAATAGCTTATCATTTTCAAAATTTACTATCATGCCTGAAAACAATAAAATAAGAACGGTGGTATGAAAAAACCTACTTGGAATGGTAGATACACTAACTTCAGTTTACACCACTCGTTCCATTAAAAAGCAGGATAATAAAAGTGTTGACCCACAGAGAAATATTACTGTCATATAAAAAATTTCACAATCAAAATATAAAACTAATCCATCATATTCTGATATCAAATCAACGGATACCAACGATTATTCCAAACATTTCATATGTGATATTGTATTTTAATAACTATAGTATATTTGATCAAATTTCATAAGTTGTCTCTTAAGCAATAATAAAAAGTATTTGTTTCATAAAATATGTTGTTACAATTGCGAAATCAAGTTATCAGTATTAATTCTTTAAATACAGTTTAACACTCCAATCCGACAGTCAAGTTGGTTTTGATTCTTCAAAAAGGCCACAGTTTAGCGGCCATCGATGCCCTAATCAGGAAGAGACATTAACTAGTTTCAGTCATCCGAAAGACTGAGGCACAGTTTAGGATTAGTTACACTTCAATCAGAGAGTTGCACCGGGTATGGTTACAGTTCTTGAGTTTACAAACTAATCCCACAAACCCTTAGACCAGAGATGGGCATTGGGTCAATCTCCCCCAGTAACGTGATACCTTGTAACCTAAACAAACCATGATGGTGGCAGAGCATACCGTTTTAAGCTACCATACTTGTTTAAATGTTTAAAGCTGTTATCAATTATAACTTTGTTTAATTACTATTTTCTATAACAATCACATTAATATTATTTGCACAAATAATTTTAACCTGGTGAAACCAAATCCTGGCACTAATCTTTTTTCAAAATAGAAATAAAAATAAAATTTAATTTCAAAATATTTCTAGTGAATGGTCTCTAATAAAAAAAGAAGGAAAAAATGTAATATATGAAATAGGCAAGGGGCGAGACAACGATATTTCCACAAATGTTCTACCTTTCAACTATTGAAGTTCAATATAAAACCAGTAAAAATTGTTGAAAAGAAATTTCGTATTTGAAGATTTTGGCCAGGATTTTCCAATTCTGGGCTGCTATGCGTCGATGAAAAGAATGAATTGACTGTCTAATACGTTTATCTGAATGATACATCATACGCGCGGCCAAATGTTTCGTCAGATTTACCTTTCAATCGGTTGTTCGAATGAAATTAGCTTTTGAATAATGCATGCGAATCCAAGCAGGACGTTAAAGGTATAACATGATTTTATCTGGCATTTACGAGGAAGGCCGAGGATGCGTGTATGTATATGAAGACTGAAACGACAGGTTCCGGCCTTTTCTCCTGCCGTTATTACGTCGCCAGTCCGCACGGTATTTGCATCTGTATCGAAAGCAATAATAGTACGTACAATATGAATTCGATCCTACAATCGGGTTACATACTATACAATTTTCAGTCAGAAAGTTCAATATGATATATTTACTATTCTGCCAATAATTCTAAATGAAAAATGAAACTTTGATTCGTCGCTCAAAAAATCTCATCTCCCATACAAAGACAAAGTTGTGCAGTTGTTAGTAGTTCATTTTCAACTTAAATTGTTTAAACAATTATTATGTTTTAAATTTTTACTTATCCTTTTACCATAATATAAAAGTGCATAATTTTTTGAATATTGTTGAGATTTTTGAATACCTCATTACAAAAATTGAAATTAAAGCAACTGCAATTGTTTACAGGGATAAATTTATAATTTTTATTCTGAGAGAAATAGTTTTGAAGATTTTATGGAAATAATTTTCTAAATATACGAATTTTTCACCCTTAATTTTAGCAGCTATTTTCATCTCCCGCATATGAATCTTTTTTGTAACAAAAAATTAGGAAAATTAAAGAAATTAAATTAAAAAGATAATTTATGTATATTAGTATTCTGTATTCCTCTTATATAAAAAATGAATTTACTTTTTATTAATTGTTTATTGTACCCTCTAAATTCTTTTCATATGCTTCCTGTTTAAAAGTCATATTTATAATCCAGTTTCTACCCCTGCAGTTTACCTGCTGTTTAATGAAAGGTATGCTAGGTGAAGTGGCAGAATGCACGATCCGAATCAATGGCTATAAAATATATTTTTCAAGTGACGTTTGAACAGCAAAAAGTGTTCATAGATTTAAAATCGATTCAATGACATTTTCAGCGCTATTCAGCCCCAATCACACTTCTCCTTTCATTATTTTGCTTTGCATCCACGTAGCCTTTCCATTCGTCGAAGATAGCGCCCATTGCTCGATAGAATCTGGAATCTTACGAGCAGGAGAACGGAAACGTCTCTGAATGGTGTCGATCTAAACAGAAATCACGTTAACTTAGACTGCTGCACGACGAATACTAAAATAACCCAGACATGGGAACAAGCTGGTCCATCTTCCAAACTGATTGAACTATTGTGACATCTTTTTTCAAAAACCTGTGAAATTCCTAGATCTATCTTGTACACGCGATACAGCCACCTTTGGAACGATCGGTAAAACGACAATTTACGAGCCGTCTGATCGAGTAGACACTAGTTAATCATCTTCTGTCTGTGAGGTTGTTGCGGGTGATACATGGTCGATCTTAGGCATTCAATTATAAATTTTCTTTTTTAAAATCAGCGATGAATTGTTTATCTTTCGATAATCAGAGAATATTTCTTGTTTACTGATTAATTATTAGAGAAAAAATTGGATTAATTTGAAAAGAAATACAATCTGTTCCAGGAGGAAAATACGAACCTATTCTGCTGGATAACGCCTATAAAGTTCAGATGAAACTTACAATAAGTTCTGTCAGTCCATCTGATTTCGGAACGTACAAGTGTGTGTCCAGAAATTCATTAGGCGATACCGATGGCACCATTAAAGTTTATCGTAAGTCGTATTCAATGATTTATTAATTAATAAATATTAAAAATATTATAGTCTATTTAATTTTTTGAGAATAAATCTTAAATTATTTACTAAATACTTGGCTGACTGACTTAAAATTGCTCTTGATATTTTACTTAAAGATGTAGAACTCATATTTAACTTAATTTTAATTTCTTGTTTCTTTGTTTTGCAGCAAGAATATCAAATTCTAGTAATGGTAACATACAATACAAAGGTAAGTTTTATTTTACATATTTTACCTATATTCTAACACCAACCAACATTTTCCAGCATAATTACATATTTTTAATGATGCAATAAAATGATATTTTATAATTTCTTTACTATAACGTTACAAATTAATTTTAAATTTTGATTTAAATACGTGCCTTTTCACCCTTATTCTGGAAGTTAACACACGATTATTAGACATTCGACGAATATTTGATAGGATGCGTCGGGAAAGGTAGAATTTTGTGTCCATCTTTTGTTGAGGCTCAGTCAAAAGTACATTCAAGAGTACATTCAAGAGTGTATAGTGGATTGGCATGCTCAAACTAGACACTCGATCTAATTAATCAGCGACCCGTTATTTCATCGCAAGTACGTTACGCTGCATCATTCGCTAAGTACCACTCGACACAAAGCAAGCGGTAACATAGGCCGAATGTGTTCCTGATTTCTAGCTCGCGCTTCGAGCGTGAAAAATAAAGTACCACATCGGATAATAAACGTAGAACACTGCTGTCAGAATAACGAACGAAATCACGAATCGTTGCAACGTGGCATTCTCGTTAATTAAAATATACCGGATTTTCTTGAAATTATTCCAAGAGGATTTATTGGAAGAGGATCCAAGAGGATTATTTTCTTGGAAAATGTTTTGATTGGTGGCAATTTAATATAAATACCCTTATTTTTGTAAAATTTGCTGATAGAAAACATGATAGTATTTCAATTAAGAAAATGAAGGCACTTCAATAGCATCGAATTAAAATTGAAAAGCACAGATGATTAGATCCAGAGAGGTAGAATAAGAATTTTACCTATGGATTGACGGATAAATAAAATAGATACTAAAAAAACCTGGTGTAAACAAGTCCAATAATTATTTGGAGAAAGTGTAGGTAGCAGACAAGTGGTATTCAATCAGTAAATAATTAGATAAGAGTAGAATAGGGAAGCAGGATTCATATACGGTCAGGTAGGTTAAATGGGGTTGTGGGGTTGCAGGGGGCAGACATGGGGATAGCGTTGGTACGTTGTGCCAGATAAGAGGAATAGGGTCAGTTCGCCGAGCCAAACAAGTGGTATAGGTCGGCGCATGGTCAGACTGCTGGAATACTGGCTGCTAGTGGTCAGGCGGCTATACAAGATATTCATTTGATAACTTCAAACCTAAATATCTCGAAAACAATGTACTGTTTGAAAAAACGTTGAATATAAAAATTTTACAGTTTCAGGGATGAAATACATTTGAAAACACATTTAATACAATAAAAATATATTACAGTTTCATAACTGTCAAATAATTTGTTGGGAATTTATCTTTGATAATATTGAAGGTGATCATGTTAATGCAAATATAATAATTAATTGATTCTGAACATAATTAGCTATTTAAACATTGTTCTTATTTTGCTTAAACGAATGCTTTACTACTTTCTCAATAAATTGTTTCCTCCCCAGCTTAGCTTCAACACAACTTTGTAGAAAGTTAGCCGCTCGATTTCCATCCAGACTAACTGAATTCCAATCTACTTTTTGCACTACTACTTTTAGCAGTTAAAATATTCTCTGTAGTGAGCGAACTGCAGTGTTCGATTCGAGAAAATTCTATTATGAAAAGTTTTAACCAAACAAACAAGCTCTTTGTAAATGCATTAGAAACAACCAACGATTTTAATTATCTATAAATCGTATTTAAGTTTAAATAATGACTGGTCACTGTGTGAACATATAAAAGTATTTTTGAAATTCCAATTTTATTGCAATTAGAGGCATCAGAATTTCTATCTTGAAAAGGAAAAATTTAATATTTTAAAATTAACGAGGCCACTTATATAATTTGTCCACCCTGAATAATTATTAAAATACGTGTCCTATAAAACAAATTATATCAACGCGTCTGTACTACTTGGAATATTTCCATTTCTGCCCATAAGAAATAAAACTTATCACTTTCTCATTGAAAATTCATCGCTTTTTTAAATTTTTATGTAAAAAGACTGAGATTCCATTCAAAGAATACTTTGATATTTCGTAAAAAATAGCTTATTTTCAAAAAGCCATTTTAGCATCATATGTTCCCTTCGACACCACACAATTTCTATGCAAAATATTTTTTTATAAAACACATTTTAAAAGTTATTCGGAGTGGACAAGTCTCACCCTATCCTAAATACATAAATTGTGTAAGTATTTTGTATAAATGGTTCTATTATTGGATGGTTGATCTAACTTATGGTTGATGATTTATCTACTTCCATCAAGTTTCGCTTCTTAAAGTACATTTTTTTATCTGTTCTTAATATGCTATCTTCTTCGTCTATACCATCTGATATACCTTCATGCCTATTATCTACTCCTTTTCCTTTGAAGCTCTTCTGTGCAAAGCATTTTCAATTACATTTTCCATGGAATTTTCTTCGAAAAATGAAAAAAGAAAGATTTCTTCATATTTTTATAATTTTCCATTTTTATACTTATTTGTAATTCGAGTATACTTAAGCATTCACATAATCCAATAGTACATGATATTAAAATTAATTTAGTGTTATGACTATGGATGCATTTCAACAAAATAAGAAACTTGATTAATCAGTAACTAAACCCATTTGCAATTTTTATCAAATATAGTGTTACAAATTACGAATGGGGAACAGATTGTTGATTAATTGCTGTATGACCCGAATACAGTAATGCTCGGTTAATGGTCGCAGATTTGGGACCTTATCACGACTGTTATCCGAGCAGGTAGGTGTTCCAGGAATTGCTGGATCTTATCTCTCGTCAGCTGGCTCGCCTCTGGGTGCGTCAGGAATCAGAGTGAAACACATTGGGAGAATGTAGGATAAAATGAAATGCTATTTCGAGTTTTTCTATTCGCGAGTCGTATTCGTGAAAAAAAAGGTGGTCATTTGAATGTCATTGTGTTCTATAATTAACGTCATGTAATAGACTTTTTATTAAAATAAGGAAACTTGACAAATCTTAAATATCTTTTGTCTTATTTCAATTTGAAGATCTGACACCCAATTTGGATTATCCTATATTATCTATATTTGAGGCAATCAATGTATTCATAGAAGAATACACCAGAAAGAATAAATTTATATAATAAAACAATGAAGAAACTTGATATTTCCACGAATGCACTCCTCTTTACTCTAAAGATTTGTTATTGTCTGACCATGCATCTGCATTTGCGTAGATATGAAATTGAAAGGTGGTGTTGTATTCGACGGAAGATTTATAGAACCGTTCAAGCCATAGGTCAAGATACTGAGTTGCTTGCTCCTCTCTGTGCAGAAATACTTTACATTTAAATTCAGAGCAGATGTCTCAATATTATACAAATAAAATCATGAAATCATGAAGGAATTCAAGTTATGATGATTCATGCATAAACGTATTTTGACGGAAAGTTTTTTGTGTAGAATTAATTTTATTGTACAGAAAGTAATCTATAATTGAAATTGACTTGGTACAATTAGAACTCATTATGTATTAATGCATATTGACGTGTGGAATGAAATACATTGAAAATAGAATAGATCCAAATGGAATAAGAAATCGTGGTTAAACAGGGAAAATGGTGGTAAAAGCAACGTTGTTTTTCATCGATTATGCATGAGCTTACTATTAATGTTACTTGTGTTACAGGAAAGTTTCGACACAACTCGGGAAACGACATTTTCGAGGGAAATCAGGACATGCTAAAAGAGCGAGGTAAATACTGCATTAATAGTAAATTCATTACAGTATTTAGTGTGCACTCTGTGTAAAATAATATTAAATATTTTTATCAAGAACAAATTTTCTTCAAAATATTAAATTACGTTATAATCATGAAGACTTGATAAGTTTCCCAGAAGTTTAAATAGTTTAAATAGTTTCAATTATTTTTAATAACATTCAAAAATTAGTTTCAAGTATTCAAGTTAAACTAATATAATTTATAATTGAACTTATGTTTAATTTTATATTGTGCATTATAGTTCTGTGACTGTTTCTATTTATTTTATTTTATTTTAATTCTTATTTATGTTTATTATTGTGTTTATACCTGTACAATTTGCAAATAAATTGAAACGGTAAAATTAAGAAAAAAAGAAGTTGCATTAAATGTTGAAGGAAATGCACATTAATTCGAGTAATTTTCACTTTTATTCTACCAGCTACTAAAAAATAAGTATTGCTTCAATTTCCTTTCGTAGATTTGAAGCTGCGAGGTCGTAAAGAAACCAGCGGAAATGAAGGGGACGATTACGATGATTCTGGAGTGGCGACGGAAGAGAACTCTTTTAGCCTGATTTTCGCTTTGGTTACACTTATCATTTATTACCATCATCATCCTCAGTTAAGAACGCTCCATCCAGCTTGAAAATTTCACCATTTGCACGCCATCTTATCGTCGAATTTCTCTTTCGAACGCGACACGTGGAAAATCTGTAAATTCATTTGGAAATCCATCGCTCAGGGACTTCGCTCGAGGATAAATTATCAAGAATCGTGCTGACCACTTACACTGTATTATAAAGCATCATCATATGTAACGATATTAGCTATTAATTTAGTGAATTAAGTATAACACATTCTTCGTCATGGAAAAAAAAACGCAGCAAGCAATAAGTAACAGTCTCGAGAAGAAACTTTTGCTGGAATTGAATTAAACATAGATTAGTACAGGGTACAACTGTAAAATGAGTGGTTCTCTGGTACAAGAATATGTGGAAAAGATAACAGAAAATTTCTGCTTTAAAGCGAATTCGTTTCCAAGAAAATCGATTTTTAGGTATTTGTAGAATTCACAGCGTGGTTGGTCTGGTTTCCTTTGATATTTTAATTATCTATTTGAATTGTTAGTTAGTTACAAACGTGAAAAAATATCTGCGAAGTGTTTCAAAGATTAGAAACTGCAATGGAATATTTCAATTAAATAAATTAATTATTTTTCAAATATTCTTCGTTTTAAAAAGTATAAAATTGTATACTTATTGAATTAAGGCTATGCAAAAGTTTCAACTTTTTTCTAATAGTATTCAACGAATATTCAACATTGATTTTCTTGAAAATTAAAATCTTGTAAGAACAAATTTTACAATTTTACAGTTGTACTGTGATTACATCTGGATAGTGTATGATGAGCCTCGATCATACTCAATTGTATTTCATGATGGTACTCAAACCTAGTCAATATCAGACCTAACTCTTTGCTAGTGTTCATATAGTCATATATTTTAAAGTTAAGTGCCATTTTGCTGCGAATCTTGCGCTCGTTTCTTGCCATATTCAGTGTTGGATTTTCAAATCATTGAATTTCAAACAATTCATTGAGAATTTTCAGAACTTAGAATAATTAATTTTATTAGAATTTCCAGGATATTTATTTAGGGTTTTGATTAGAATAATCTATATATCTAGAATGTATCTAGGATATTTAGGTTTTCATTTAAGATAATTTATTTATTGATAAGGATACTTTAGAAGGATAGATCCGGTTAAAAATTAACTACTATTTGTTTCTCACTGTACAACAAATTCTACAAAAAGGAGCACCATAATAAGAATAAAACAAACAGAATATAAATAGAGTTTCGTTAACCTTTCATATTCAGTAGGCTTTCTCATATGAAATGTGTTCGAATGTGCACTCAAGGTTTTGATTTGCATCAGAATTCATTGTCAACTCATTTGATTACCTTCAAATTGGTTCCTATAAAATCAAGACATATCACATTTCACATAGTCAACAATTCTTTCTCTAAGCAAACAGTTCAATTCTTTCTATTTTAGATTCATGTAACTAGGTATTTGAATATTCAAATATTGTGAAGTTGGGATTTCCAAATCCAGTAGTGAAAGGAATCGTGAAAATAGAGTTGTCATATAGATAACCCTGTTTTTCACGAATTCCTATAATATATATATATATATTTTGTTATGAAATGGTCTAGCAGAAACAGAACATCCCAATAGCTATATCGTTTTTTAGAAACTTAATTATAAAAAATATTGAAAAAATTATTTTCATGATGATATAGATTCAACGAATTTTCATTCAATAATCTTAAACTGGAGTTTTATAAATAAATTTTACACCAGTTTTATATTCTCACTGATATGTATTGTAACAGTGATTGATTTGCAATTATCACACATAAATAATCTTGTGTAAATTGTGTCCTTAATAATAATTAAAATGTTCTCTTTCTGGTAAACCAGAGCTGAATTGTAGTAGATTTGATTTTAACAGAATCATTACTACATGGTTACTCAAAATGGATATTGGAATTTTTGAATATTTGAAAATGTGTAAATTACTTCAAATGATAAATAATTATCCAAATTTAATTTCTCACTTTATATTATTTTTAAATATGCCGTCTATTGACTCGCATTTAAATTCTCTTCTGATGTTATCAAAATGCTAAGATACCAATTTCTTTCACATTCTTTTTGAAGTTTTTAGAAATTAAAAAAAAAACACTTTTTTTATATGTAATAAAAATAACTGAGATCGGTTATTTAGTATTTAATGTAATTCACAGTTTCAAATATTGAAATGATAATGATGTTCTTTTTGAATTAGCCTGTATATAGAGCCCGTAATTGTAAGCACTCAATAGGGAACGCTTTAATATAATTAACACCAGCCGCCTCGGTGGAAGCGTCCAATGTTTTTACCAAGAACAATGTAACTAAATAGCAATGAACGAAATAACTATGAATGTACACATTAATGTACATGTACATATACACTCGATATATGCATATTGTAGCTTGTGCATCTGTATAGCGTATGGTATATGTGTATATAACTATATATAGTGTGTTAGAATAGCGTTGTCCAAAGACTGAGAGTATCCTTTCGACGGTCTTAAACTGCATTAAGTAACAATTTATGATTGAAACTGAATATCTATGAAACTGACCTGATTTTAGTACATTTTTATTAATACGTTACAACCAAAATCCGCAGATCTACGTTATATGAGACGACGTAGATACCCCTTTAGACGTCAGAATTTTATAATTTCTTCCCGGAGTCAATGTGTTAAAGAAATGAAAAACAAATACATTTTGTTACAATAATGGAATAAAATTATATTTTAATTGAACCCCTTAAACATTATGATTGTCACGACTTGTCATGATCTTTATTTAAACAAAAACCGTGTATATTATTATACATATTTAAAAGTATTGTATATAAGAAAAATGATAAAACGTACAAAAATTTATTCTTTTGTACATCGCGTTGGATAAAGCATTAGGGAAGTATTTTAAAAACTAATCTTACCATTGAAAAAGAAAAACAATTTATTCTAATGGGACATTTAAATACGTAAAAATTTTGGTCATTTCTTACAGGGAAATACAGAACATAATTGTTTAAGGGGTTAATTATTTTATTTAACGAATCAGAAAAAATAAACAAATTAAACCTTTTACATTTTTATCATTAAGTATAATTAAGTACCTAAGTATCTTCGTTTCATTAAAAATTTGTATTTGAAAATGATTTGAATAATGCCCAATTTTGATATCGTGCAAATTAGGTGCATTTCAAGAAGTTTTTAATTTTTTGTACGAATCGTAATAAGAAAGACAAATGCAAATCGAACGAAGGTTGTAAACTGAAGCCTAAAACTTAACGATTGGAGAATTGTTTTGAAAATGAGGAGAAAAGAGTGGAAATGTTGGGTTTAGCGTCAGAAAAGATTTTTATATGAAAACCATAGTGTTCAATAAGCATGTGTACTTACATGGTCTGTTACAAAAGTAATGAGTAAAGGTACATTTTTTTGCTAAATGAAATGGTTCTGTTTGAAGTAGAAAATTATTTCCATTGATAATAATTTATTTTATTTTCAACTTTTATATTCTTCTGTCGCTCTTTGATATATTTATATGCACAATTGGGTTAATTGTTCCCCATAGATTTTAGGATAAACATAGTACCAAATATTTTGCGGTTATTAAAAATACATCGAATAGACAGAAATAAATTTCAGTATCTACAAATCTATTGACAGTGTATGTGATAAGTATTGCATTGATATGATTGATTTAGTACTTTTAGTTTAAAAATTCAATATATTGGCTAATATATAACATAATCATAATGAAATATCGTGTAATAACAAATTAGTCCACATTTTTCTTGATACTCTATAAATTTTCGTCCGCTATGCATCCTAATATTGTACATATCCATGTAAACAGTATTACAACATTCTTGTTTATTCGCTGTCACGAAAGTGTGTAAGGTGTTCACGGAACAAAAGGAAAAAATACTTAATTATTAACCCTTGAACAGCAGAGTTTGAGTCAATTGGTACATTCAAATTGGGGCTTTCTTCATGGTTCGCCGCTCGAGGGTTAAACAATAAGTTATGGAAATAATTTGAAGCATAATGTAATATACAGAGGAAGGTACAGTTACAATCAAGAATCGTTGAATAGTAGAAACTTACCTCGTGCTATTCTGTTTCTCGGTACTGCAGCATTCGGCTTCGATTCTTGATTATGACTGTACCAACCCCTGCTGACCTGACATTCAGTCGTCAGTGCTGAGCGGGTTGCAGGTTTCAGGCGCTTTTTACTCGAATTTTTAAACGTTAATTATTGGAAAACAAAGCCATAAACGCTATTTCGTTATTCTTGATTTTCGTCTTATTTTGATCCCTAGAATCTTCCCTTAAAATTTTGCCCACCTGTTATCGAACACCCTGTATATACAGCAAGACCGCTGGTTTCAATTATTTCATTCACAATGTATTACAATGAAGTTCTCATTTATTCTACGTCGATGACCGACAAACAAGAATTTATATAAATAAACGTGAAATGAATACATATCGATAATATTTACAATTAGTACAATGTACGGTATAAAAATGTGAAAGAAAGTAACTCTTTTATTCTCTTTATCTTTACATTAACCGTAACACCTTGCATAACAAAGTTTTGTATTCGCAATTATAAATTCATAATTAAAACACGAAGCTAATACTAGTCAATTAGATTTTGTATCTATAAATTGAGTGCAACGAAATGATTTGTTGGCAGGACGAAAAATAATTTTTATCACAAGTACATTTGCACTACACGTTTAAATAAATAAATTGCAGGAAATGTTTCTCAGTGAATTTTTTTTATAATATTGAATAACAAGTATTTTATATAGCATAATTAAAAATACAGCTTTTGTATTAGAACTCTTAAAGCTAAAAATAAGCTGCCGTCGTTTCTTCGCAAACTAAATATTTTTAGACGATTAAAATAAAGACTTAAGTTTCTAGTACAAATCTCGATCCAACGATTTCTACATTTCGTATAAGATTTTTACAGCTTGCTCGAAAAGAGTTTACGAGTTAGATTATTATCTTTTGTTCGACGAGACTTTTCGTAGATAGATTCAATTAGAATATTTAAAGACAAATAAAAATAAATATGTGGTCGTAATACGTATAATATAAATAATATTGTTAGATGATAATTAGAATGAAGGAATTGTTGATAACATTACGTAAAAAATGTAATTTATTTCTCGTGTCAGCGTATAAACATTATTAATAGGAAATTTATTATTTAGATTTATTAAATAAAGAAAACTGTAAGATGAAATATAACAGAGCTATAATGATTTACGTTTTGATTAAAAATATTCAAAAACAATTGAATTATACTTGTTTATAATATGAGTAATATTATCGAAATTTTTGGGAAGAAAAATTGTTTTATAATTAATACTAATAGTGCTAGTACTAATAACTTTATAAGCTTGAATTTTCTAAAAATTCGAGCTTATGTAAGTAGAATGTAATGACTGTAACAACATGTACATGCGAATATTTTCTATCATCAGCATTGTAGATATCATCGTAATCAATGTTGAAGAATGATTAATGTAATTAATTGCGAAAATGCAACGTTTCTAACGAATGCTTGTAAGTAGAATACACAAAGAATTAACAAGTATATATAAACAAAATATAATTATACTAAAATGTACATATATATAAAACCGTATTTTCCCTGCTAAGTAGTGGCGTGACTATATGTATATGCCTCTATAACGTAATATAATTCATAAATATACTGGTATAAAAATAAATGTAACACTGAACTATTCATAGACTGTTAGTTATTTGTTTTGCAATACAATATATTTTTAAAAAAGGAAAAGATTTTAACACCGTGGAATTTGATGAATGACAATTTTCCACGGTAAGATAATTTAGCGTTTTGCAATTTATAGTTTCAGGTTTGAAATATAAATCATTGAAAATGACGCAGCGGGGTCCCTGACACCCCATGATCAAATCAGGTCCGTACGAAGAGAGCATAACCAGTATAATAATCGTCCTCTAATTTCTTTCCGGAGTTCATTTAATTTACTTTATTCATTTTTTCCACTTGTTAACAAGCTCGTCAAAGAGGAATAAAATTTATGATTTTATGTCTCTTCTAAGTCACGGCGGATCATCCTTTTATTTATTATTTTATTCTTCCTTATGACCTCCGTCTCACTTTTTCCAGTTATGTATTATTTTATCCTACTTTACGGACTAAAGTCCACCCTTTTCAGTTATTAATTACTTTATTCTCCTTTATGGGACAAATCCACGCTTCCTAATTATTTACTTTATTTCTCTTTATGGGCCTCGCGGGGACTATTCCCAAATCACATCTTTTATATCCCTGTATTCATTATTTCCCTCTAATATCCTTTTACCCCTTGTACCGCTGTAAGCTCTTATTGAGTAAGAAATCATTACAAAGGGCACTGATTCGAGGTCAGAATTTTAGTTCAAATTTTTGCCGCTAGACGACCAAAATTTCGGCAAGCTTTACTTCCTTTTTTTGCCACCAGAGGGCGCTGATTCGACGTTGAAATTTTATTTCAAATTTTTGCCGCTAGAGGGCCAAAATTCCCGCAAGCTTTAGTTCCTTTTTTTGCCACCAGGTGGCGCTGATTCGACGTTGAAATTTTATTTCAAATTTTTGCCGCTAGAGGGCCAAAATTTCTGCAAGCTTTAGTTCCTTTTTTCGCCGCCAGAGGGCGCTGATCCGAGGTCGAAATTTTAGTTCAAATTTTTGCCGCTAGGGGGCGCTATTTTCGGTGAAATTTTAGTTCAGGGATATGAAGTGTGGCCGCAGGGGGCCCGGGGCTGGGACCCCGGTCTCCACTGCACGCGGCCCCCGTGGTGTGCCGGCATCGGGCGTGGCCCCCGATGTCGGCGGAGTTTGGCACATGCGGGTGGGTCAAAAACCAGACCCTCCCCCGAGGCACGGGCGTCAGAGCGGGGTGGGGGGCCCCGGTACGTCCGTCAGAGATCCCGGGGCCCTCCCTATAACCCCAATGCAGGCCACCGTGGTGGTTTTAGTGGGTAAAAATCCCACACTACCTCCAGCCCCTCCTCAGGGGACTGGAGGTGTCTTTCTGAAGATTTCCACCACGTAAAAAAAAAAAAAAAAAAAAAAAAAAAGGATCCGAGGAATGCAGAGATGATTGAGGAAAGTTAGGGATGCTATGATATGAAGAAAGCAGGGATTTAACGGATGCTGAGATGTAAAGAATGCAGAGGTGTAAAGGATGCAAGGATGCAAATCAATAACTTATTTTGAATACAAAGTACTTTCTTTAATTACTTACCATACATTTGGACTAATTTATGTTATGATTCTACAATAAACTTTTCTTATGCTATGACTCATAGCACAATGGAGCAGTACATCGTTCATTTAACCGAATGAGAAAAGCATTTGTCTATCAATAAAGTCACTGACAAATAATCAATAAATAACAAAAGTCACTAACAATAATAGAGGATTTTTGAAAATCCTTTATTACTATAAAAACATGAAAATTGTAAATTCTTTATTACAAAGAAATCAAAATTATGATTTTAAAATTTGTAAAAATCCGATATTCAGTGTATGTACACTTTAGCTCAACACATACTTTTCATAATTAAAAAGAAATTCAAGAGATATCTATGTTAGGCCCTTCTTAGGTTTTCCTTAGGCTCTCCATAAAAAGCAAATGGCTCTTTCTACAAAAGAAGCCTGCATTGCACCTAGGTGTACATGCATAATTTTTGCTATACATGCACTTTTGTGGTTTCCAAATTGAGCAGTCTTACTGGGACATCCCATGCAAATATTTATAAGAGAGGTACTGCTTCATTTGCACGTAACAAATTAACTCTTAAAGTACTGCGAGCAAATATACATATGTATAAGTTGCTGCTGTGGCCTAAAGACGTGGATGCGCTCACAATTAGTAATTATTATCTCGATTTACCGACATAAATTTTCCTTTGCTTTCGAGTGAAAAGTAATTTTTATCAGTTCTAAATTTCACACCATTTATGTTTTCGTATAATGAAAAAATTAGAAATAATAAACAAAATTTTGGAATGTATGAAGTGTTCAGCTGCGTTCGGTTCCGGTCTCTAAGAGTTAAACATTCACACTTTTCGTTATGATATCTACTCAACGATAAGCATTCGTTTGTTCTCAGATAACGTTCCAATTAAACTAAATCTACAACGACGGAAATATAGCTTTTACATTGATTTTTATCTAAGAACTTTACTAAAATCCTTTAAATATGCAGCATATAAGATTAATTTATTCTTACACTTCTGTGTTGGAATCATCAAAATAAACAATAAACAATTTATTCATCAATATACAAGTACTCAGAGGTGCTTATGAGAAGAAGTTAATTTCAAATGCTGCATATTTAGAAAAAAATAGCAAGCTCACTGAGGTACTTTTATTATTATGTTGATAATTACTATAACCGTTACAACTAATTACAGATTACAAATCATAAACTATGTTTACTGTAATTTTTCAATTATTTGCTACATGTATATACAGATTGTACAATGAATTTCATCAACAACCAGATTATGGTACAATGTAAGTACTAAATGAGGTGATAGTAATATGTACCACTACGATCTTCAGCTCAATTTTCGTAAATATGTATTGCAATGTTTATAATATTTAATGTCTATTATTAGTTTAAAAATAATTTATTTTTAGCTACTTTGAAATTTTGTAAATCGAAAAATAAAATAGATATTCCATGTTACTATCACCTTCCATACCATTCTCACCTAGCTCAACAAATGAACTAAATCAATAAATTAATAATATTTGAACAATGATCACTATACAAATGCACTGTGCTATAATAAACAATTACTTTTGCTTATTACCGATAAAGATAATTAACATGTTGATTGCAACAGTAATTATTTGTGAGCAACATCGTGTGAAAATTCATAAAAATTGAATCATTTTGACTGACGCAATCAACGTATTAGTACACTTTAAAATGCTCGATTGTAAAAATCATCGGGCAGATGTAAATTATATATCTATAATTAATATATACAATTCAATTGCTGAAAATAAATTCGTTAAGTACAATTTTATTAAAAAACGAATTAAAGTGAATGATTTAAAATTAACCAGGAGACAAATGGAACAGTTTTCAATTCTACGCATATGTACAGATTCGCTAACAAATTCACATTATTCGAATTATCGTATTCTTATTTTATTTACAAATATATGCAAATGATTACTTTCTAGAGGAAATTTACACATACGGCTCCTCCTAAGGTTTTACAAGTCACTCTCGTCTCAACTGGAATGTTCTCAATTGCAAACATCATTGTACAATTCGTTCAAATCATTCGAACGTTTACGCAACAGGTTCCAATGTATACACGTGCACATCAATTATACAAAGTTATTTCAAACAACATGTTGCACATTAGCACAGAAATAATATGTCATTGTCTGTGCTGTGTCGAGTAATCTTATATTGCATAGTAAATACAGAGTGTCTTAGAAGTACTAAGTTGCCAACATTGAAAATTCAATTTGCTGCTAAAGTAATACAAGGATTCCTCTTTATTTATGGCCGTATCTTTGTAAACGCATTGTTTTAATACAACAGTATTGTACAAAAAACCTTACAGATCAATTTAAAACATAATAATATTGTTTCATACATTTTCCTTGCTTTTAAACCTTCAACCCTTAGATTGTTTAATGTTTGGAAAATTGTACTTTCAATTAGGTAAATCGAAACTGTGTAGTAAGTAAAGAATACAGTATGATGCAGTTAACCTTGCGAAACGATGTATAAAATATAAAAACGCTTCTAAATGTAGAAATTCAAATTCAAGACCAGACTACAAAATAGAAAAATATCGTAATTTTGGGTACCCGCACAGCCCTAGTTTTACAACTTTCAAGATCCCAACCTGACCCGATCCGACCCTATCCAATCACTTCCCGACTTGAACTGAGGCTGAAGTAATCTCGATTTCAGATACTTCTAACATACTTTCGTTTAGTTTCTAATGGAGAGTGTCTTCTCATGGCATTTTTCAAGAACTGAAATTAATAGAACAATCTCATTTCTTCAAAGACACCCTGTACATATGTATTGTACATTAACTAGTACAACAGATGCAACGATAATAGATACAATAATACGATACAGTGTACAGTAATTAGGCCGAACATGTTTCAATGAATGAAATTTCTTCGAGTAATTCGTAAGTTTATAAAGCATACAAAAAATATCGTATGTACATAGGAGTTAAAATGCTTATCTATTCGAAGCGCATCCTTTAGAAAATTAAAGTTACGATTTTAACGAGCTCAAATAAACTGTGATAATTAGTAATAACAGAAGTGGCAGACTTGAAAGGATCTCATTGACTAAACTTTCTCGTTCGAATAACACTAACTAACGATAAGATTGTTTCGTTGACTTCAGTTTCAGTTTCACAAGCACATTCGTTAATTGATCCCTTTCACGGTTGAGATAAATGACGATGAACAGGACGAATCTTGATCCCATCCGAAGGATTTCCCTCGAACAACCGTTCTTTTTTAATTTTTTATTTTCTTCTTTTTTTCCGCTACTGGACACTGACGTGACTACGACAGGGCAGATAGTAGGATTATGCAGATGGCCGTTCTAGATTGCACTAGAAAATTCGTGCTTGTACCCCTGGATGACATCGATTGCGCCGTGTTGTCGATTCTTCGTGGCCGTACCTCGCCACCAATATTTTTTCGTCCTTTTGTCACGGTGTTTTCAGCATCGTTATAGTCGCTGCTGCTTGCTCTCCCGTGAAGCCGTATATCTGAGAAAAAGTGATTGATTTATTAGCAGCGAGCATGAATACGAAAATTCTTTAATGTTACCCCGAAAGTAATATTAAGCTTAAATATTTTTTATTATATTACAAACGACGATGTCTGGGTCGAACAAAATCCAAACTTACAAAAATTAAACGTGTAATTTTTAAGCGAAGTGGTTTCATATTGCAAGAATAATATAAAATTTAGAAAATGAGAACAATATAAAATACAAAATTAAATTAAAATTGGGGCTCTCTCCATGGTCCGTCGTTCGAAGGTTAATGTTAATTAATTTATATAAAAAGTGGTACTGTTATGGTGTTTTTTTATTCACTTTAATTATTTATAATTAAACGTGGTTAACATTTTGCCTATAATATGATCTTTGCTTCCATTAGAAAAAATTTTTTTACTCAGGGAAAATCGATCAAAATCCATACTCCTTTTTATTAAAATAACAATTGTTAATTTCAGAAAATTTATGAACAATCCCAGAGATCCAATGTAAAAAGGAAGACATCAATTAAATTTTGGAATGTGTGTAATGGAGGAGAGTTCTTGAAATTTTACCTTTTGTAATTACCGTCGTTTCTCCCTCGGACTTTTCAATTTCGATTTTCCGTATTCCCTTGAAACGACAGATTACAATTGAATAAAACGCGAAATGCCCAGGAAAACCCTAGGAAAGTTTTCGTGAAACGAAAGATCAGATTACTTTTCATAGTGAAGGCGACGCGGTAGTTCATAAACCGCCGTGGGATTTCATCAAAATCCCGTTGAGAACGAAGTGTTTGTCGCCTTGGAGAAGATCTACGGCATCGTGCCACGTTGCTGAAAGTTCGCGGGTAAATTTCACGTCTTCCTTCGAACTTTCCCTTCAAAAAGTTTCTCACACCACTGTGCGTAAGTTCTCGCATTACGCCGAGGCCGATGATTTAAAAGGAAGTTCTCAGGGAATTTCTAAGCGGGATAACGTATTTACGTTAAAATACGCCCGCCGTATCTACTTTTCATTTATACCAAAGTTCTTAATCGAATATCCTACTGTTAAGCTCCACCGCTGCCATGTACAACGTTGAAGGCAGTCTTACATCTTACTTCGCGTGCTTTTTTAAGAAATTTCCCTATTTCCCTTATGGTTTCAATAACTTGTCGAATAAAGCAATATTGATCCAAATTCTTTTACGTCAAAATTGAAATAAGTATAATCTGTTATGTCACTGATGAAATTTTTAAACTCCTCTATTTTAACCCTTGCGCTACTATGAAATATAGTCTCATCAGTTTTAGGTTTATAACGAATTCTCCGTACAAGATTAATGAAAATATAATGATCGTTACAAAACGCAACAAAGGAAAAAATATGAGAACTTGATTGCACATTGTTACAACTACGTGGTGAATTGAATTCAATTTTTACTTGGAAACTTCGAAATGTAAACATGCAAACGCGACTGTACGCGCTTGAATATTCAAACTTGCTCTGACAAAGCTGCAACTGTTGCTTGAATGTACAATGTCAACGAAGCAAATGCAAAATTGTTGGAAATGATACCCGAAGGCTAACTTCGTAATTAATTAATAATTGTAATAAACGTTCTTTTCATAACAATAGCTATAATATTTGAATTATGTTCTACAAATAAACTGAAAAGAGAAAATAATTTGGGAAAAAGTAATTTAACTGCTACAGTGAAAACGGACGTTTATTACTAAATATTGAAATTCCAATTATGGATAACAGGAACAATTAATTTTCAAATTTGAAAATTTCAATTTACCGCCGAAATTAAAATACTATCTTTTTATTTGTGGTTTAATTGTATCTACTTTGCGGTGCCGGTCGCCGGTGATTCCTACGCTATTCAACGTATTGCATTAATACCGGTAGCGCATGCGACAATCAAGATAGCAAGAGAACTCCGAAATTGCATTGTGTACAAAAACAGTCAGAATAGCAGTCTGTAGTGAAACTAGTAACCCCGGGCATCAATCAAGTGCACGCGATTTTCAAACTCATTTTTCTAGAAAATGAAGTTTCGTACGACAAAAAGTTGCACTATTTCCATTTCATTTTTAGCCGCGGAACGTTCCACGTTCTACTTAGGGCATATATACTTCCGAACAATGAAGGATATAAATTTATTCGTTAAAGGCGATTAACACATTCAGCATTTACCGAAGTTGCATTTAAGAAGTTCAAATGACAAATGGATTGCGACCACGACATAGGAAGGTCATAAATTAAAGCATTAAGAAGCGGCACTGATTGATGTCGCGGCATTCAGGACCGCATACTGCGTTCTGCTTTAGGGTTCCCTTTCACTATATTCCATAAAATAGTCTTAACCGTTTTCCTTTTACCCTTCGACCTCAACCTTTTCACCTTCTTCTACTCTTTTTCTTTCTAGCTCTATTTGACATAGAGAACCTTAAAAAGCTAAAGCAATGGTCCTTTTCCTTCAGTCTTCATACAATCTCCTGGTACACGCGCGTCTTCGGAGTGTTCCAACTCCTCCGAGCTTTCCAAGTTTTTGATTATTTCATGAATGTGAAAAATGGATGCACCAGGTAAAACTGATAGAAGAAGCAGATGAAGAAAATCGAGAAGAGTGGACGTTTAAAGGTAAGAAAAATTGGAAGGAAGTGGTTACATATTGTTGCAGGTGGGTTTGAATGCGATTAGGTAATTCACGAAGTACTGGATTGATCGAATAGCGTGATATGTCGGATACTTAAGGCAGTATACTGTATCATCGTCCTGGTTTATTTGGGGTACAATACATCTCGTTACTTAAAGAGATTGCTCTGATGCTCATTCCTGACTTAGCAATACAATGCTGAAGTTAAACTACAGTTTTGTATTGATGTATGTGCGTCTGTGAACGAAAGATTTCTGAGGATCAAACAGTAGAGTGTAAAGAAAAAATTTCAATAATGGAAGATCATTGCTTTTGAATATTAATATTACAACCTTATCTTCTTTTTAATTCTTGAACAGCGAAGTCTGGGTCAATCGAAACCCAAATTTATAAACCATATACAAGGAAATTAAGTTAAAGTTAAATGTATAATTTTAAAAGGAACAGTGTAAAATTTAAAAAATCAAAATAATACAAAATTGTCACTCCCGTGGTCGGCCATTCAAGGGTTAAATTTGTTAATATGCGTTTTGGTTTTTCTGCCTTGAAAAAGAAATTTACTAGTGATTAAAGTTACTCACCATCGTTCCTAAGGATATTAGGCAATGAAGTATCCGTTCCTTCATTCTGGATAGGCTCCATACTAGGCAGTGGTCCTTGTCGTGAGTTTTGAATATTTTCAACTGAAAAATAAATGATTTATTTCTCTATTAGTACTATTTTCAATTCTGTTCTATGTAATGGACGTTTACTACATAATCTATTATTTTTGTATCGAATTAACAAAATTTTGAAAATCATAATTTAAGATTTAATAAAAAAAAAGTCGTTATACTTTGATCACTAATATTTTTGAATAACAGTTTATTTTTATTATTTATTCATGAAACCTTGGTACATGTTGTTGGTAAAATCATTTATTCTGGAACGTGTTCGTTAATAAAGCAACAATTTTTTTTTAAAATGCGATATCTTTGACAGCTGTATAAAATATAGGAATCGATAGACCATAGACGATACATCAAAATTGAATAAAATTTCATCCATTTTTAAGTCAGGTCACTGGGAGAAGCTGTACACATATTCATATTGCACTCGATATTTGTTTAAATATAACTTCGACAATTTTTTGAAATAAATTGAAATGTGACAACAAATCAATTCGTGGAGTTAATTGTGAGTGGCTTTTCTCATTTTATTTTGCTGTGGCTGCAAGGTCGTAACAATTAGAATATCTTTCCAATATAAATTCTAGATTTACAAGATATTACGAGGTAACATAATACATCCATTAATTTTCACGGCATTCATTAGCATCTTTATTTGCATTTCTGAATATATTGTATAACGGAGTAAATCATTGTAATTCTGAAAATTTGTCTTTGTTAATAAATTTACCTTCTTCGACAGTGGAACTGGGGGTGGTCGTCGTTTTCAATTGTGTTGTTGGTGTTGGTATATCTATAAAGTATATATTGTAATTTTAATTCATTGTTAAATCACTAATCATTTTGGGTGCTACGATACTTTTAATAGTACAGTAGGGCTCTCGTTATATTGCCGTCGATAGGACTGTAGGAGGAAAATTTGTCATTTGAAGAGGTCAAGGGAGATAGAAATTTATAATTTCTATAGACTATGGTAGCAGGAGAGTAGCACTACTATGCTTAAAAATTCGTATCTAGGTCAAATCGTTCTATAAAATTTAAATTAAAGAAAAGTGCAAAATGGTGCAGAATTTTTTAAAAAGGTACAAAATACAATACTTACGGTAGAGTTTAATACTGCCATCTGTTTCTCCTAGAGAATTCTTCGATATGCATTTGTACGTTCCGTAATCGGACTTTTCCACCGACAATATTGTAAGTTTCATTTGTATTTTGTATGCATTGTCTGTAACTGATTGCTGATATTTTTCTCCTGGAATTATAATAATTCAGCTTAATTTCAATAAATCTACGTTAATCATATAAAATGCACAATTTGTAATTATAATGAGCAGTAAGCATATTTAGAAATTTATATTTACAATTAATTAATAAAACGAGCATATATAATATTTTTACAAATAACATTCTTACAGAATAAAAACAACTAAACTATTCTGAATGAATACCTGTTAAAAAGAATATAAATAATTGAACAAGCATAAACAATCTTTTTAATAAAAACATGCATTCATAACAACTCCATACAATTTTTCATAATTGAAATATTAAAAGGAGAACAAATTAAATTCGAGTTAACTGAGAACAAACTGAGGAAAATAATTATAGTGCAAAAAGCTATTTTAAAAAATACAAAACAGTACACATATATTTTTTTAATCGTATCCTATTTTTTGATCGACTCCTGCATTTCAGCTGCGAACGTACATACGTTTCGCGTTTTATCCAGGGGAGATTCGTTAAGTCAAACTTTCGCTCAGGAATTAATAACACAGCAGACATCGTTTTCCCTTGGTAAACCGCAGGCTACGAGCGAAAAGAGCGGCGCAAAGAGCAGAAGTCATGACAATCACCTGCCATTAAACTTGTATACCCCGTCCAGCAAAGCCGGAAAACGTCTGGTTTGCGATGCTTGAGAAGGGTGCGAGTCGTCGCGATGTAGAAAGGACAGTAATGGCATTGGTAAGTAGCCGGAGGCACGACACTCTTCATATACAGAGCTTTTTATAGCATATTGTTCTTCGTTACTTTTGTTCGCGCGATGTTCGATAGTAATCTAACAAAACTAAGATCTAAACTATAATCTTTATCCCTCGAACGATGGAATTGGGTCAATTGTGACCGAGACCTATGAAGCGTATCCAATGGTATTTTCACTAAAATTAGTCTTATCAATTTTTAAATGAAATATTTATAAAATAGAAATAATACATTGCATTCTGTAGATCACTACAAGCAACGTGCGGTTTCACTGTCCTTAATTGGGTTACATCTTATCAAATTACTCTGAAAGATTGCCTTGGGTTCGTCTCTGATCAAAAACGGGGTTCGGCATCGGGACAAAAACGAGACACTTGGAAACCCAAACAAACGAGTCTGAGATGTGAGACGACACCTTAAGTCTGGTGCACATGTTTCGATAGGATTGAATTGAACCTAGTACACATTGAAGCAGAATCCCTAAAAATAGGGAGAAAATTGAATTTATGATCTATGCTTTAAAGGGTTAATCAGAAAATTAAAGTTAAATAGATTGATATTTTTAACAAGAAAAATTGTAATAAGTTCCAAAGTAAATATGGTAAATATCCTTTGACTTTGCGAACATTAAAAAAAAAATTAATTAGTTTCACAAGAAACAAACATTGGCAAACATTTTCTAATAATTGCAAAGACAAATACATATTCATTATTAATGAAAACAACAGTTTTCTTGATAGCTTATGAAAGTTAATTAAGAAGCCAATAGTGTGTGATTCTTTTTCAGCGGACTTTGTACGGAAAAAGCAGTACGTAATTAATTATTTGCTATTTCCTGCCAGAATCAATACTATCAATTAAAGATATCGAAAGTTTACTTTTTTCCTTTCATAACGAAAAAAAATCAATACCAAGAAATATTGTTTACCAACAAATTCGGCGAAACACACTGCATATCTTATCACTGTTCCAATGACCATTCTTAATGTGGCGCAACGAAACTTACAAAGAAAGTGCAACCATAAAAAAGCGAAATAAAAGTTTACATTCGTGTTTTACGAGATTCACACGTAAATAAATACAACATGCTACCTTCGCGTTTGCCTGTCCGTAATGGACGTGTTCCTGGGCTGCTAATTCACTGAAGAGCGATTGAACCGTACTGGCCAACATAGTTAACGCTGTTTTATTAACGAGTGTACACGCACGATACACTAGCGTTCATGTGTGCACCGTATATACCGTACATTACCGCTCAAAAGTATCAAATTTATCAAATTTCGGATAAATTTGAAAATAAATTAAAGTTATACAGTATTAAACAGTTTCATACTTATATTCAATCGTAGAAAACGTATCATGAGAAGTTGATGAATATTTGTAACCAATTAAAATTTTTAAACAATTAAATCGATCATTTTTATTAAGTTACCAACAAATATCTATACCTTTGTGATTACTAAGTAATAAATAGAATTTAAGGTATAATTTAATTTCAGTATGTAAAATCCAAGAGTTTTGTTGAAAATGTCAAACGACTTAATACTTTTGAACATTAGTGTACATTACCAAAACGATCTAACATCGTCTCAAACGGATAGGTAGAAACGTATAGAGCCATAATTGCGTCGAATGAGCCTTGGTATTGAACTTTTCACGTAATATAATTATTTACAAAATGTTTTGGCAGTATATGTTTTTGTTAATTTGCGATGTTCCATAAAATGGGGCGAATAAAAGTGAAACTTTATAACTAATATATTGATTATTACATTTATGTATCCATTTTTAATTATTTTTAGTCTATATAATAAGATTGGTCAGAAGAATTTTTTCTCTTCCATTTGCTAGAAGGGGTGTAACCATGTTATTCACTTTGCAGAAAGGTGCGTTATCAAATTTCACTTTGAGAGCTAACTATTTCGCCACTATCGGAGGAAAATTTTTGGAACTTTGTAGCATAGAGCGAAAAGCTACGATATTATACCGAATATTAGTTCTTGAAAATTAGTTTTATAGATTGATATTTTGCAATTTTTATAACAAAATTTCGTGTTATTTTATCAGAAATTTGTAAAGCTTTATGTACAAATATGAGCCTCAATTTACAAGGTATTTTTGCACAACAAATCTAAAAGAAAAATTGCTATATTGAACTCATGATATATTGTAATTGGCTTGCCTAATTAGTGATGAATTTCATTTCAGATAAATATTGGAAGCAACATAACATGCAGACTACAGCAAGAAAATTAATGAATTAATTTCCATTATTCGTTTAAACAAATCTCTAATTTGAAAAAACAAAAATAAATTTGTGCAGCTACACTTGCCTAATAATTAATTAGAAATACCAGTTTTTATAATTTCATTATTCTCTTTGGTCCAATAATTGATTGATTTTGGAAAGGCTTCTGAATGACACTCAAGAGTCATCTTCTGTCCCTCTTGTGCACCTACCAATTGATTTTGGATCGAAATCATTGGAGTGACTGTGAATTCATAGTAAGGAAGGTTATGATATTTTTGTTGAAAAAACAGACGTACATATATAGATACAATTTTAAAAGAAAGAAAATACTTACAGTGCACTATCAGCATTATTCTTTTACTGACTGTAGGAGGCACCCCATTGGAAGCGATACACAGGTATGCACCCATCTGTAATCTATTTACCTTTGTGATAGTGAAGATTGACCCTTCTACACTTCTTACTACAACAAAATAAACAATTTATAAAATTAATGTATAGAAAAAAATGAATTACAAAAATATTTAACGCAAGGTCGAGACAGGAAATAACTGCTTTGATTAATAAAATAAATATGTCCAATTTAATTAATTATTACTTCAATGTATCTAAATTAATTTCACTGTTCACATTTCACATTTAATTTCTCTTATTAATTGTCACTTCGCACCGCTATAATATAATGCATCAACAAAACTAAGAACAGAATTTTCGTTTATGGCTTACTAAGAAAGTTTAGTAGAAACTTCAATAACAAAGTAACAAGCAAAGTTTTCAAATTTAACCGCAAAACTTTATGAGTTCAACTACTTGATGCACTTTGATCTCTGCGAAATTATTTGTAGGGAGCAACATTTCCGAACATGAATTTCAATAAATTTATTACAAGCTTTTATGTTACTTATTAGGTAATTTAGCCAATAAAATAGTAGAAAACATTAATAAGTATTAATAATGTTAATTTGATTTTTAATACTAATACTATAACATATATGTAGGTGCTATTACATATTAAACTAAACTCAATTTTCTGCTGATTTAATATTTTAATTATTAACATAAATAATTTATAAATATGTGCTTTCATTTAATTTGTTTTATCAGAATCACAAATGTTCAATTTCATCAGATCGAAAATCATTTGCGAAACAGCAGCGTTGATTTCCCGCCACAAAAAGTTCGTAATAATAGCGGGTTCGAAATTAATGTTAACTAACCGAGTCGGTTTTTGCTATAGCACTTCCGATACCGCGAACACTCCTCGCTTTTTGTTAGTTCGCTTAATCTGAATAACATTCAATGTTATGAACGCATTCCTGGTGGATTGCATCGTGGACGTAATGCTTGTAGAGAATTTCTTGCTAACTGCGGTTTACCCGGAGAAGCCTTGATTATATTTCGTTATGGTGTTTCAGGTCTGATTCGATCTCCAAACTTAGTTATACCAACAAATAAGATTCAGATTGAAAAACAATGTAAGAAATAAATGTATTAAATCATTCTTGTTTTTTATTACCTATATTAAATTCCTTTAAAATGTACACTACCGACCAAAAGTTTGAAATTGTTTGCTAAATTTCTATCCGAATCAAATTTTCTGGGGAGATAACCAAATATTTTGTTTACCAAATAAGATTTTGAAATTTATTTGTATACATTATTATTTTCGAACAAGTTTATTACAAAGTGCCCATCGTTAAAAATAACTGTTACCTTCTTTATTAGTGCAAAGGAAAGTATAAAAATTTGTATTGCCAATATAAAACAGATAAAATTGTACGACTCGCTGGGGGATTTCACCTTCTATTTCTAGAACAGTAGGGTCAATAGTGGTTGCAGTAATAACCGCACATAGAGCACAGTCAGTCGGTAAACGTAAATCTCACACTGACAAACTAAAAGGCGGTCACAGTGGTTGTTTCCAGTTAAATTTTCGATTCGTTGAGCTGTGATTTTGTCTACCAAAACGTTCAATTTTTACGCACGACAATTTATGTTATAGAGACTCTTGTTAACATTTTCGTGATGCGAATACGGGATAAACCGAATAGAAGTTAAACTTCTGAATAAATTTTTTATGTTATACATAATCAATTATGTAAAATAAAAAAAGGCTACTTTTCAAAAATTCACTTTCTTGCCTTTGTACAATTCTAGTACATTTCCCAGGACTTTCAAAAGGGAATGTAAATAATGAAGGGGTTAAAGCATTTGTCCTATCTGACCCCTTTTCCGAACTACAACCGTTTCTCTCTTCCAGTAATTCTTTTGACAAATTGAGCTCTTCATTAACTATTTATAAGCAACACTTAATATCTCACGTACGATCTTATGTAAACCCTGTCTTGTACTGTTTTTGCACGTTCCTTTGATAAGAGCAGAAAGTGTCTGATACAGTTCTACGATAGTCCACATTTGAATTGATAATGGTAGATTATACAAATGCAGAAATGGCAGGCATGCATTTAATGTAACGTCGTTCTCGTGAGGCATTTGTATGCAGAACGTCTTCCTAATAAACGTGAAAATTTGAAAGAATACACAAATACCTTTTGGTATAATAAATTATTTAAAAAATCCTGGTTAGACCTAAAATGTATTATGTCAAGATGGTTGCTTGACTATTCCTTGTTTTCACGTAGGAAAGACAAGGACGGTGTTACGTTTCTTAGTTTCTCTGCATGAAGCCACCAAGATCGATTCAAACTTGGGCCCAGGGTTGCTAGCGGTAGGGGCACAAACAGGGACCGTGTGACTATACCACTTACGATGTCACGTTTCTTCTCCCTCTACCATCCATCGATCATAAGAAGTCCCGTGAGAATAACACAATCTGATTGGTCGCGCCCCACCTAAGTTCACACCTACTTTCGCTCGTGACGTATGATTGGTCGAAGCGGTCGCATCTACTAATTAGGCTCGCGTAAAATTACGGGATCAGTCGATATGTGCCCCTGTGTCGCCCCGCGAGACTCCTACTCTGCAAAGACAGAAAGATGACTAACGGGACGGCAGAGAGACAAAGGGAGCACTTCGCACGCCCACCCTGTCCTCGCGTTTAAAGTTTTCCTTACTTCTAGCAACCCTGCTTGGGTCTTTACTCTTGTTAACCTTGAATAGTTCTTTGTCTTCCATAGTGCCCAGAGATGTATCTATATATAAGCAGTTTTCAAAAGTTCATTCATAGAGAGTTAACTCATTAATTTAAAGCACGGTATATCGTTCAACCCTGTCGCAATTATTTATAAACCGATTATTTTCTGAATCGTGATGTCACGATAAAATAGAAAGTCGTTAAACCGCGGCATACATTTTTCTCGCCTTACGCTAGATCGAACTTTCGACATAGGAATAGATACGGGTAGGAGACAAAAGAACGATAAATCGTTATCGTGACTCGCAGATAGTCTTCGTTTGTCGAATATTACTCGACGTTATTGTGTGAAACGCAGAACGCGTATTTCATTCTGACATCGTTGGTGTGCCAACGATACAGGTGCAACGACAGCTTTGTATACAGCTTCTGCATCACGCATCGTGCTCGTTAAATAAGTTTGAAAGCCATCGGTGATAAATTTTCATTGTACCCTCGGCTGTTCGTCGTATATTTTTTTTCTCTGCCTTCGTACCGTATTCACGCGAGTGTGGTTCAGGAACATTTTTTTTCATTTTGCATTTTCATTCGTCGACGGAATTCTAATTTTGATTGAAAATTTGTTACTTGTATTTCATACTTATTCTAAACTATATAAATGTAATTATAGTCTATATTATTGTACAAGTATTGTACGTTACACCTTTTATCTTAATCAAATACGAAGTTCAATTAGCTGTTTCTTACCTTCCTGACCATTTTCAAGAAGTATAGCTTCTCCATCTTCCCGTCTCCAAGTAATATTTGGTTTGGGTGAACCCGTCGCGGCGCAACGTAACGTAACGTTACTACCCTCTCGCACCACCATATCCGTACTCGTCGAATAATCTAAAATATCAGGCGGTACTGAAATCAAAAAATTCACAAGATTTTCAGACAATGTCTCTAACAAAGACGTAGAATCAAAATCTGTGGACCAATTTCGAGGATCAATATGTAGAAATAAAACAATAAATTCAGACTGATTAAAACAATAGTTCATTAAGGGGGAATTTCAATCTGTTACGGTCTGGGATAGCGTTGGTGGGATAAATAATTTGACCGTCTGTTCATGATAGTGAAAAATAAAATTGCTATTACAGTTTGTAACGTTACAGGTGAACGTATCTTGTATTCCATTCATGTAAGTGTTCACCGACTGAACGAAGGTTACACGTGTTGCGTATAGTTCAAATGGACCGCGAGAGGTTAATTATACGTTAGCGGTGACGTATTTTCCTGACGGTACAAAGATAGATAACCCGCCGCTATTTAGCTTTCCTGTAATTTATAACTGGACTGAGAGTTCTATCGGGATGGCACCTGGACACAGGCTACCAGAATGAATGGTTCGAACGAAAAGGTGGTGGTTAGCAACTCGAATTCGTAGAGCTATCGAATGGCGATGGACAATTTAAACAGACGCGAGTTTACAGATGGCTAGCAACCCTGTGTCTCGTTGTCTTTGAGAAGTACAGTACAGTTTTGAAGGATGCGGCCGCGATGTAGGGAAGCGATAATATCTTTGATAAGAGAACCATCAGCAACAACATCACGCATCGCAGAACCTGTAAAGCAGGGATGAACATCAGAGTAATCTCTTGGAGTAATGAGATACATTGTAACCCGAACGAAGGAGGGCAATGACACAACGTGATACAGGATGATTCGCTCTCGATGCTGTATAAGGGAAGCATCGTCAAGCACACTGGGCCCATTTTCTTACACGTATACACATAGACGCAGCCGTCTATCACTGTTTAAACGCATGCACCATGTCTCCACTGAGGTATACAGCGATATGTATTTACTGAGTGAATCATATGTGTCCACATTACAGGGGATGAATCTATATACACATTACACTTAAGCATTCAAGTTCAACCTTATTATTAATTATTTGGCATTATTATACAAGCTCATATTAATATTAACAGTTTCTAATAAAGAATCGTTATATACTGTTGAATTAAAAGTTTCATCAATACAACAGGTACTTCAATAATTAAGATGATGAGACAATGCAGCGTGACGGCGGCTTAAAGCTGCATGTCAGATCACCATCCTAGGTTGTTTGGATTATAATCTGTCATGTTAGTTCGAAGGATTGTTCTGATGTCTATCCCTATTTTAAAATGAGCGTCATAACTTTCACTGATCTCTTCCCCTTATTTCTAGCACATACAGTGTGTCTCATTTTATCCTAGCCACGCAATTATCTCCTGAATTATATATTATTCAAAAGAATGTTTCAAATAAAAATATATATAGTTTATTTAAAACAAAAGGTCATCTTGAAATCTTGAAAAAATTTAGTGGTCAACATAAGACGTCTCCCTTGAAATATAACTAATTTTATTTGAAATATATTCTTTGAATAATGTATAATTTAAGAGATAATTGCTTGGATAGATTAGAATGAGACACCTAGTATGTATGCAGGACACTGATGAAAAATAAGAATTGTTGGCATCGGAGATAGCCAGCAACCTTTCCACTATGCTACCGCCACAGTTCGTTGTAATCCCTATTTTTCCGACTCTTCTTATTGCAGTAGCCGTTCGTTAATTCCCTGCTAAATAATACTTCTGTTGCTTCCAGTTATAAATGCAAATCCCCTTTTTTCTTTTACTGTTTCAGGATTAAATTTGTAGAACCAGTCACCGGTGAGCCTCATGGGCATCAACCTATTAATATTCTTAAAGTAAGAAGGCAAAATGAATCACAGGAAAACATAATTAATCGTCATGAATATAGGAATTATCAAATACTATGTAAATGTATAGAACGCAATGAACCAACCTACAACTTCCAGATATCCAGTTTGACTCTTCATCGGATCGGTATTTATCTGGCACATGTAAGCACCTCGATCAGATTCGCGTACTTCACGTATGTGTAAGTGCCAGGTTTTGCGTTCGGTGTGCGTCACTCCGATCCTGTGATTCTTCGTGATTACATGATTAGCTATCGTCAAGATTGTTTGTGTGTCTACTCTGAGCCACGCTACCTGCAAAAGAACAATAAAATAATACATTTAATGAATTCCTAGTTATTTAGTGGCATTGTCATTATTTTAGAAATTTAGTTAATTTCAACCGACATTAATCCATGCAAAATCATACTGCTTTCATTGTTAAAATTAACAATCATAAGACGTTCGTACTGTTTACGTGTAATTATTAATTATTAATTTTAATTTCAAAGTACAACAACCCTTTACCCTCAACCTTTCTAAGTAGCACGTTTGTTCCATGTGGGGAACATTATATAAATTAGTAATTAGACACTAAAGGAATAACCGCTTTTCCACAAAGGGCGAGAAAATTAGTACCTAGAGTAGGTAAAAGCTCTCAAGTGCTTACAGAACGTATTTAAATCAGGCTACCACATATTACTTGTGCCTGGAAGGCGTACTTAAAATTTAAAAAATTGACACGTTGTCTGCCATATTATTAAAGTTTATTATTAATATGTTAGTAAAAATATATAATTCTAAAACATGCACTTAAGATATTCTATTCACAATTTTTAACTGTTTCAACATTTTAGTTGAAAATTTTCCTTTCTTCTTGAAATAAAATATTGTAAACTGTAAAATTTTCAACAGAATTAAACGTGTTGATGAGAATATGTGTAGATACATTTGCACCATCGTATTCGACGTGTGAAAGGTACGGGATAAAAATCCATTTCAATTTAGTATCTCTCAATGTATTGAAAAATGATGTTCGAATAGTAACAATAGCGGCGCGTCCGTCGTATTTAATCAAGCGTCAAACAATCGTGCACACTGAGTTAACTGAGCGACAGATTCACTGAATTATCCACGTTCTATGTGACCACAAGTGCGAATAAAACGCTCGCTATTTCAGAGGCGTCATTTTTCCCTAGCAACTGGTCCCCCGATTCCATCAGAATACTTTTCCACCCCTCTATAACAGCTGTATCGCTTACGAGCATTGTGATACGAGATCTTACGACACCATGGAATTCTTCTCTTTTCTTAGGCTGCAATCTACCGAGAGGAAACTGAATTTTGAAGATTGTATAAATTTTATAAGGACAATTCTTGGAAAGGGGAGAAACTACAGCACTTTTCAAAGAATAAATGGCGGGGAAATGTTTTGTCTGGTTTGATGGGTTTTATCTTCTTGTGGAATTCGTATTTCTGAACTGCGAAATTTTTACGAAATCTTATAGAGAATTAAGAAAAGTATATTGGAGAAGTGAGATCAGAAAATGAAATAAGGTTTGATTCTAGTGATTCTAAAGTAGGTCACATCGGTTATAATACAAGGTGGATAACGGGATACGTTTCGTCTGATGGTCTGCAGACTTTTATTATCGTACGCTCGTATTTTACCAGGATTATGATAGCGACGTGGAATGTAGCTGACATTGGCAACTTGTAGAAATGCATTCAGAATGTTGCCGAACTGCGATTATTTCAACATTGAACTACTCCTCTTTCATATCCATTTATTTATTCTGAATTCTTCAACAAGAATACAAAATATAAAAACTAAACAGCATTATATTTTTTTTATCGGCAATTATCTCCTTTGTAGAGTTCTAATTGTTTTTTCAAATAGTCAAAATGTAATCAATCCAACGTGTATCCAATGAATTTTCAAATCCAATATTTTCCAGACTGAAAATTCTATTTTATTCTAAATTTTTTATCTATTCTTTCATGCACAATCACTCTATTCAACTCTATTGTGTTGTACTATGCACATTCAGATGACTTCAGCTGAACTATTGTATTCTCTAACCCCCTATTAAAACAATTTACTAATTGGTAGCACGTTTAATTCTTTTCTGCCCGGAGAATTCAATTATTCAATAGAAGCTGTATTGTAATCTAGTTCACTTCCAATTACATGTTCATTCATTCAATGTACTTCATACTAAAAGATTTTCTACAGATTATACGATTACCGCGTCGTCTGCTTGTTCTCTTTTGTAGCTAAAGACAAAGGGTTTTAATACCTTAAGCTTCGTTTCCCACTTTCATGATCGTGAGTGACTACATCCAACTTTTCATAGAATTCTTCAAAGTGACTCGGTGTCGTTAGTAATAATGAAAATGTGTCGCTAGATATTATTTATTATTATCTGTTGCGAGGTATTATTTCCTTGCGTTCTTGTTCATTTTTGATTACTTAAAATCATTTTTTTTTCTAGGGATAAATATAATTCTTAATAATGTATTAATAAATATAAGAAATATTCCATTTCTGATTACTTTTTGTTTCTTAATATATCTTGATTTACTTACATTTTAAAAAGAAAGTTCGGGTCATCGATTAAAAGTGCCATTGAGATTTCTGATGAAAATTGTTTGAAAAATTTGACAAATTCGATTCCTGCGGATATTTTTTCCATTTGATACTTAAAAAGTGTCTCACTTAAAATTTATCACAGAAATATTTTCAGTTCAATTTAGCAGAAGCATTTTGCTGAACGATGAGTATCGTCTAGATACCTTTAAGAATCACGTTTCACGAAAATAGCTGTTATATTTTATACCAAAGGTACGAGCAAAAGTAACTTCTTATTACCTTTTACTATTATTTTATAAAGAAATGATAAAAAAGGTTTACAGTAAATGAAAAGTAGCTAATGCGTCTTATAATGAGTGGTACAAAATTGGAATAAGTAATAACAAATCTGTTGATTAAAATATTTATTTCTAATTTTATTTATTTGTCTACCCATAATATCCAGCAGCATTGAGTATTAATTGTGAAAACATGCTTCCCCTCAAATAAATTGAATTCAATGAAATATGAAGCGCTTTCCGTAAACAGTATTAGTATAAAGAAATCGAGAAAAGATGTTGACCTCAAAATGAAACTTTCAAGAACAAATTTTCATTGCTTCCGCAAGCTTCGCGTTCAGCTGGCGCAGTTTCAGCAAAATAATAACGTAACATTTCACTCGAAAACGATCAATTTTTTGATTTGTGCCGAGATTCTTTGAAAGTTATCGCAACTGATATTACGATAAAGATTGAACTTTCTTGTACAAGCTTTGAACTTGAATTACACACCTTCATTGTAAAATAACGATAGAATAGAAGTTCCCAATTGAAAATTTAGGAACCTAAAGAAATAATATTGATTTCATACGAAGTACTAAGTAACAAGAGTCATACAGTAATTAAATTTTAACGATTCCTTATAATTTTAAGCTTCTAGAAATGTTCTAGAAATTTATTTTTAAGGAGTGAATCGTCTCCTTGAAACTGAAAAGGAAAATTTGGTATTTTTCAGTTGTGAAAACGTCTCTTTGTCAAAAACAACGTTACTTCCTTCGCTCTGCTAACTCGCAGAGTTAGGGTTTTCTTAAGTGTCGACTTGACATTCGGGAAAAATAAGTTGTACAGAGTTACATCCGGTGAGCTGGGTGTTCAGCAGCTGTTTTGTTCAATTTCAGAGGAAACTTTAAACCGATACGTAGCTGTGTCTTCGAGATAACCATTTTTCCTATAGATACAAGGTAGCTTCGATTAATGTGTAATACCGAATGTGACACCGAATTTGTCTTTGAAACTTGCCAAAACTGTCTTTGTCTAAAAAACGATGTCCCTCCCAAAACCGACTTAACAGGTCGAAGCAATATATAGGACCCTGCCTATCCATGAAATAACAAATGGAAATGATCAATAAAATTAACATAATTAACGCAAACTTTTCATGAATGTAATATAAGCCTTGAGAAACAAATTTTTTTTATTTGGAGGTCCTTATAAACATGAAATACTTGTCGATTGCCCAATATCCCCTTGTCTTAAGACGGTACTGGTTCCTGTAGCTAGCAGATTAAGGGGAGTCCTAAGGGGGGCTACAGTCCCAGGTCTCACTTTGCAAGGGGCTCCAAGCATTTGATTTAGTATGTCAAAAAATATTGGTGAAATTTTTTTAGTGTTGCCCTTTTTCTTTACAATTTCAATTTTTGAACAAAATTTATCTATCAACCCTCGAAGGTTTGATAGCCCGAAAAATCTTAACTTGGTTCTCCCTGCAGCCAACTACCAGTTTCGACGTTTGCATCAATTATTTACTGCGAATCGAGGAATAATCAGATTAATTAAAAGCTAGCACAAGAAATCATGACTGACAGTGAATTTATTTAAACTACATGCAAACTGAATGCACGTGTTTCCTGGAGGCAAAAAACAATCAGTAAAATGGTCAACTCCGAAGCAGTTTTATCCATTATCACGAATATACATACATCCGTATTAGTTGTCACATTTCGTACACAACATTGCATTTCATTTTCGCAACGACGCTGTTTAATCTACGAGAAACGTTATTCACCATCGACTTTTTGAAAAATCGATTTCCTCATATTGTGTCCCATCGTAACACGCTAGGTATGCGTCCAACTACTTTCTGCTGTTCTCTTTCTACCGTCGGTTTAATAAATACACGTGCCGAGCCAGTTTAACACAAAGTGATTGAAATTTGTTTGAAACCATGTTTAACGCTCCCAAAACTGTCCTCGCTTCCTTCATTTAAATCACTGCGAAACGAAACAAATTGAAGCTTGTCCAATTTAAAGGCAATCTGAATAACCCCTTAATAAGTTCACGTTAATTTGATTAAAATTTCGTTCATTTCAATAATTTCATTCGAAAGAGAACGAGCACTGCGTTTAATATTGAAAAGCAATTGCGTTTCATTATGTTGAAAATTGCTGTTTTATTATTTAATCGTAGACGTCGATCGTAAGTTAATATCCAAGAATCGTATAAAAATGATTCTCTTACACTTTCGTTTTCACGGATGACGCGATCCTGTCCATTCGATTTTCAAGATTAAATACAGCAGTGCAGTTTTCGAATTTATCCAAAAAAATCTTTTAATCTGATAATCGTTATTACTCGGAATTAACGCTATTCACTCTATTTTTGTGAGATTGCTCTAGTTGTTTTAGCAACACAATTCTTTAATATCCGAAATGGACCTAAATCCGTTTCAGGTGCGCTCGTGTGTG